TATATATATATGTATATATATTTACAGGTATTTAAACAGCACCTTTTATATTGGTGAGTTATTTTGATGTAATGGCCGATGTTTGATATTTAACTTTATCGTTAATATCGTCCGATACCGATACCATGCCGATAATATCGTGCATCTCTAGTTTACCAAGTCACAAATACAAAAACATGCTCTATATTTGTGACAAATGAGAACAAACCAGCTGGCTTATTTTTTCAAACAAAAAAAATCTACAAAGTATTTGTATATAATTCTGCCATGGAATGTATTAAAAAAAGTTATATGCTGTTGTTTAAATTACACAGTGCTTTACTTTGTGCATAAAGTGAACAGAAAATTCACATTTTAAATGTTTCATTGGAAATGAAATAGTCACAGTGTAATCAAACTAAATCATCTTTGCTGCTTGTGTCTATAACCTTTTATTAAGATGCCATTCTTCTTCTTCTGTTTCTTTTTTGTTCATACAGGGTGAAGAAGGAGATCAGGGAGGTCCAGGAGAGGGTGGATCCCAGGGACCAACGGTGAGACGTTATACTTACATGACATTTTGTTTTTTGAGTGAGAATTTGCCTTATCTGGCTTATCATGCTCCGTTTATCTGCTCACTGATGCACCTGTTTGATTTGCTTGTTGTTTTAGGGACCTCAGGGAATTCGTGGAGCCACAGGAATGATGGGTCCCAAGGGAGAGATAGTGAGTGTTGTTGTGACTTTTAAGCCTGTGGCGCTTCTCATCTTTTTTGAATTACTTGCAAACACAGAGTGAATTTTATCAATAATAAAAATAACAACTACAACAGTTTAAAGATGACATTGCTATCTTTTTTCTTGTTGCTGTAGGGAACTCGAGGTCCTGATGGAGAGCCAGGTCCTCAGGGAGTGGCAGGGGCAATTGTAAGTTTGTCCCTCAGTGCAGTTATGTGGCAAATAAGACATGTCTATTGTATGATTTATGTTTCAATCCATTATTTTAGGGGGACCGAGGCCAGAGGGGCGTGATGGGCGAGCCTGGGCCTAAAGGTGAAATGGTTAGTGGGTACACTTCATCATCACACATTAATAAAAATGTCAGAGGTGTTAGACAACAAGCACTGACACTTTTTTTTTTTGTCATCCAGGGTGTTCAAGGGTCAAGAGGGATCACAGGGCTTCCAGGTCCTAAAGGAGAACCTGTGAGTCTCTGTGCAACAACGACACATAACCCTCCTCTTTAACAGTTTACAAACGATACATTTCTCTTCTTCATCACCAGGGCCTGCCGGGCGTGGATGGCCGTGAGGGTATTCCTGGAATGCCAGGAGCAAAGGTTGAGAACTGATTGTTCTGATTCACACTAATAATGTGATATTTGTTTCATTTATGAGGATAAAACTACTTGTTTAAAAGCAAAGCTGTTTTAGTTTTCTGCTGTCTGTTCCCCCGTAGGGAAGTGTTGGGAAGTCAGGAGTTCCTGGAGAGGTTGGACTTCAGGGGCTTCCTGTGAGTATGACCTTTGACCCAAAACTGTGATGGCTGACTGTAATTGGATTGAATCCTGAGTGAACTCTTCCCAGTCAAATGTAAAGCACCGCCGGTGATAGATGCTGCACTACAGTGCTCATTTCCACTCCCACTACTGCTGCAACAATAAGCCCCCTGACAATTGTTTTAAAACATGTACCAAAGGTGACCTACTTACTTTTCATTCTGAGCAAACAACCGTGCTCCACCATCATTTAATCATATTATACAACATGAACACAGCAGCCTGTGCTGTGAGACGGTAATTAAGAAAAGGAGAAATGTGGTGTCACTTCTGTGATTTGTCTGATTAAAGGCGCTTATGAGAATCAGCTAACAAATCTAACAGGATGCTTGTGAGAAACTATGCTAAGCTAAAAACCCAATTTATATCATGCACCGAGGGAGAAAATGATTGTAAAGAATAGTTCAGATCTTTTAAAGTGGCACTCTCTGGGAAACATATGTGCAATTAATATGTCACCTGTTGTGTTAACACTTTAAGCAGCTTGAGTTTGAAAAAAAAAAAAAACTGTTTAAACTTGACATAGTGATGAGCTAATGGCTAGTCCATGCAGAGCCAAGACGTAAATGGATTGTTGCCATCTTAAAACAACTTCAGATTCAAATATATTATAGACTTTTATGTGAATGCTCATTTATAAATCATCAAACTGTTGATCCAACAAAGTTCAGTCAGGTCATCTGGACGGTTTCTTTTTTTTTTTTGTTGAGACATTTCATCCTTCACCCAGAGGACTTCGTCAGTCTGAGGAGCCCCAACAAACTGAGTCCCACAAGTAGCAAACCCACATAGTGGACCAACAAGTTTGATAAGAACGTTTTTGGGGCCCGCCATCTCCTCTGTTGACTCCTCTGAAGCAGCCATAGCCCAAGTGGTTCAAAAAATCAAAGTTCATGCTCATTAATCCAATATTTGTTGGATTTTCTACCTGGATTATTAAGCATGAACTTTGATGTTTTGAACCACTTTGGCTATGGCTGCCTCAGAGGAGTTGACGGGGGAGAGGGTGGGCCCCAGAGACTTATCACCAGCAAACCCACTACGTGGGTGTGCTGCTTGTGGGACTAAGTTTGTTGTGGAACTTCGTACTGATGAAGTCCTTTGGATGAATGATGGCTCAGCAAAAAATATATACCATCCAGATGACCTGACTGAATTTTGTTGGATTTTTTACCTGGATTTATTGGGCATTAACTTTGATAAACTGTTGATAGTTTCACATCACATACTTATTCTGGAAGAAATCTTGTGATATTCCTACAGGGAGTTCACCAGGGTGCTACAGCTAGCTGCTATTGTTATTAGCACTTGCAAATGACCAGAATTCTATGTAAATAATCATGTAATTCAAAACCTAGAGGTGTTTAAAGTAGAGTTTCCATAAACAACTGAAATTTTTAAGATTTAGTTTTTTAAAGATGGCGACAATTCACTTTGGTCTTGACCCCTCTTGGTTTAGCCATTAGCTCATCAACCCTTTGGATCATTGTCCCATTGTCTTTTATTCAATCTGGTACAAATAGCTATCTACAACAGGTAGGATACTTACTGTGTATTAACTTTGTATACAATCTAACTATTAGGGTCATAAAGTAACACAAATGTTTGTTTATTCTAAAGCACATCTTTGTACTTTTGTTTTTACATGTTTTTTTTTTTTTATAATAAGTGTATTATAATTTAGGATTGTACCTGCTGCTTGAAATATCTCATCTTTATAAAAGAAAATGTGTTTTTTCACAATACTTTCTATTTATTTTCAGGGTTTGCCAGGTTCATCGGGAACAAAAGGCTCGAGTGGCCCAAAGGTTTTGTGCTCATTCATTAAAAAAAAAAAAGATTTCCAGTATATTTCCAAATAGAGCTGTCAGAATCTGAAAGCCAAATTGGCTGTTTCCACACAGGGTGACAGTGGTCAGCAAGGGCTGCCTGGAACACTGGGCTCCACTGGCAAACCTGTAAGTGTGAGCAGAATCATGTCCGTCACTGTGGTTTACTTCTCTTCTCTTGTGTAACTGCATCATTTTATCATCGCACCAAAGGGTGAGCGTGGAGAACAAGGAGAGGTGGGACCTGTTGGACCCATCGGCGAGCCTGTGAGTATTATTTCCTCTGAAGTCTTTAGCTTCTTTCTTTTAACGTTTTGTAATCACCTCCTCTTCATTGCAGGGAGATATAGGAGAGCAAGGCCTGGTGGGTCCAGCTGGGAAGCCAGGTGGAAGGGTGAGATATGACCTAAAGAGCGCAATATCCTCATTTTATATTGTAGCTGCATTTAATTTTGTTGGGAAAATTGTTCCCCAGCAGACAGTGACCTTAACCGGCTTTTATTAGCAGAACAAAAGACATAAACACAAACATTAATGACTTCATGCATTAATGATATTTTAAATGAGACCCATTAAAACAGAGAGAACAGAGTTCAGAGTAGTCGTGGCTCTTGTGTCCCTGGAATGTCTCAGAGAATAGGCTGAGCCCGGATCTCACATAAGGTCTATTTTCACAGTAAGGGGAGACTAAGCAGCAGGCTGAAAGAGCTCTCTGTTTCCTTGGCATTCCTCAGTTGGTCAGTGATCAAAGGCTGATCGGTGCACACAAAACATGTCTGAGAAAAGGAGCAGAAGAACTGAGACATTTTAAAAACTTTAACTCAAGCTCATTGTGAGCACAGACCTCTGATTCAGAACAATTAATCAGCTTTAAACTGATTTTATTTCACAGTTTTCTGCTCAGCCTAATGCCTCATTTTGTCAACCTGACATATTTTAGCCCTATAATGTCATGACATGTGCTTTTTTTTTTTTTTTTAACACAGGGTCCAAAAGGTGATCCTGGTCTCCCTGGTCTCCCAGGTCCTCCCGGCCTACCTGGAATAAAAGGAGAGAGGGTAAGAAAGCAGGATGTTTCTGCTGAAAGAGAATCAGCCATTGTCTTCAATAAAACTAAGAGTGATGCTGAATCCCAGCTTCACAGCTCCCTCTAGTGCGAGTGAACAAAACAGATTTTAACTCCTTGTAGTGTGAATGTTTATGAAGCATTCACTCTGTTGTGATCCATTTATCTTCTGTATGATTTTGGCAGCTTTCTAGTTCCACATTTTTTTTGTGCTATTTCAACAAATCATATATCAAAACATTCAGCTCTTTCAGGACAATCCTGCTACGACTTTTGGTTTTGGTGCAGTTTTAGCTTTTTGAAATATTTAGCCTTTTCTGTCACTTTTTTTCTCATAGAAAATGAATTGAGCTCATTTTACATCCTCCATATCTTTAGGTCTGTTTACAACCTTTCATGTTTTGTTCTGGTTCAGCTTCTTTCAGCTTCCTTGTGCAAATTTTAACTTTTTTCCCAGCTAATTTCAGCTGTTTTGTGCTCCTTTCAGTCTCTTTCTGCTAACTACAACAATCTGTGCTTCTTCTAACTTCTTTCTGCTAATTTCAGCTTGTTATGATAATTTCAGCTTATTTCTGCAAGTTTCATCTTTCTGCTATTTCAGCTACTATTTAGCTGTTTTATGCTAATTTTAGCTTTTCGGCTAAGTCCACATTTTTTTGCACTCATTTCTACTTTTTTCAGCCTAATTCAGCAACAATGTACTGTCCACTTCCTTCTGGTAATTTAAGCTTATTTCTGATTTTTTTTAGCTACTTTTCAGCTTTTTTCATTTATTTTTTTTTACTTATTTTAGCTTTTTTTTCAGATAATTTCCACTTTTTTGTGCTCATTTCTGCTACTTTCAGCTTATTTGGGAAAACATATTCTTTCTGCTTTCATCTGCTAATTTAAGCTTGTTTGACATTTTCAGGTATGTTTTTAGTATTTTTAATCTAATTTCAGCTTTTTTCAAATAAATTCAAGCTTTTCATGGTAATATTTGCTACTTTCAGCCTAATTAACTTCTTTATAGTCATTTCAGCTTGTTCTGCTATTTAGCTTTTTTCCCTTCTAGTTTCAGCTTTTTCTGCTATCACAGCTAATGTTGTTTATATGCTAACTTTAGCTTTTTCAGTTAATTCCACATTTTTTTTAGCTCATTTCAGCTCTTTCCACTTCCTTCTGGTTGTTTAAGCTTCTTTCTGCTTTTTAAGTTACTTTCAGCTATTTTTTGTGCTAATTTGATCTTTTTTAAGCTATTTTTCTAATTGTTGTGCTAATCTCTGCTAATTTACACCTAATTCAGAAAAAAATGTGTTCTTTCTACTTTCTTCTGCATGTTCTTTCGTTTTAGCTACGATTCAGTATTATTATTATTATTTTTTTGCCTAATTTCAGCTGTTTTTCAGCAAGTTTGTCTGCAGTAACTATTGACACTGCATTTTCTCAGGAAATGCTCTAGTTCTTGATTAAGTTCCCTTGTGTTCTCTGTAGGGAGAGCGTGGAGGACCAGGACCTAAAGGAGAACAAGTAAGACATCTTTATACTAAATATTATTATTAGTTTTCTTTACAGCCAAATGCTTCCAGTAGGTTTCTTTGTATAAATAATTTACAGACTTTTTTATTTTTTAGGGAGGACAAGGTGATGAGGGGGATTCTGGAGAGAGAGGGGATGCTGTAAGTTGTAATCCTAACAGTCCTCATGTGTTTTGTTCTGCCGCACTGGAGTAAATCATCTTCTCTGATGTTCTAACTTTTACCCACTGGTTTTATAGGGTGACCCAGGAGAACTTGGACCTAAAGGAGAGGTGGGTCAAGATGTCTTCTTCTTACTGAACACATTTTAAAGGTTTAACACGTTTATCTGGTCGGATTATTGTTTTCTGTTTAGACCGGTACCCCTGGTGACCCTGGCCAAAGAGGTCCCGAGGGGAGTCGAGGCCAGCCGGGCATTGAGGGCCCTCCTGGGACACCTGGACCACGAGGAATGCAAGGGAACAGGGGCCCACGTGGAGTCAGAGGGTCCCAAGGACCAGCGGTAGGTCCTAAAGGTCAAACAACTGAGAGGACAAGTTTAGCAAATATCTCTGAGAGTTCAAACAGCAGCTGATGAGCAGAACAGTGAAATAAAAAAAGACTGGAGGCATTTTACTGCCTGATGGATAAATGTCAGTAAATATTAAGAGTTTTAAAACTCCTCTGTTTTTCTTGAAAGTTCAATCTCACTTTTCTGTGTTTTATTTAAAAAAAAAAAGTCACATATTAAAAACAAAGATACATTTATTCTTTTATATTCCTGCTAATTATTGAAAAAATAAAATAATTAAAAAGACACTTTTGGGTTCATTTCGCTGTGTAAGTTTGATACTACCCCATTTGCATCTTCTGAAAACTCATATTTTACATTTTTGAAATACAGCATAACTATAGATACGTATGTTTGGGATTCCAGCCTTCATTATGTTTCCTTTATAAGTTAATATTATTTGAGGGTTTCTTATGTTTATATTTTTGTTGGGTTTTTTTTTCCGCATAAAATGCTATTTTTTAAATAAATCCCGTGATTAAAAAAAATGGATAAAATTGACAACAAGCATTGCTGTTTAATTTATCTGTTATGCAGATAAACACAAGGCTTGCTACTAAACAAATAATTAATGAAATGCACAAGCTAATTATCTTTAAAACTTTTTGAGCTGTTGTTTTTTAGTTTAAATAAAATATTTTTGTTTTTTTCCTCACCCATTTGTTCTAATAGTGGGTTTTTATTCATAATTTTTCTGATCAGTTTTACAAACCAATTAGAGCCCTGTGGAAAAGCAGAACCCACATAGACCCAATGTTTTTGATAGTTTTATCTTATATATTCACCTCAACACCTCCTGGTTTATCTGACAAGTAAAGGCCGTTGATCTTTAAACAATCAGATGGTGTGAAAGTGAGACATCATCCAACAGTGTGTAAAACGTTTTCTCATGTTGACTTGCCTGCAATCTGAGTCCAGTAAATTGATTTTTATAATAAAAATCAACAAAATATTACTGGTATTCTGTTAAAAAAAATGGGGAAACCCTCCAAAATTCTGATGTTTCTGAAAAGGAAAAAAACAAAGGATTTTAAAATTCATTAACTAAGAATGCTGTGATTTATTTAAAATGATTATTTAAATTCTGCCATTTAAAGCAAATGATGGAACAGTAGTTTTGAATTCTAGAGATAAATGTTTCGGATGCTTACATCATTTGTTTCTCTCGCAGGGTAAAGAGCCAAGTGATCAGCATATCAAACAAGTTTGCATGCGAGTCATGCAAGGTAAGAAAAAAAAAGAAGCTTTTGACCCCATTTATGATTCCTCTGTGCCTCATTTCCTGCTTGTAACGTTTCTTAGTGCGCCTCGTGCTGCTCTGCATTGTCTCATTGATCTGCCGGGCTGCCGAATACAAACTGGAGAAGTAAAAAACATGAAATAAGCTTCAGCCTTTGTTCGTGTGACAGATGAAAAATACGTTCTCCGAGCCTTCGAAATGTTTCACTGAAGTCACAACATCTGCTCTCTCCGTTCTCGGGCTCTTACATCTTCACCGCTCATCTCCTGCTCTCATGACTTTTTTATGCCCGATGTACTGAAAAATTAATTTCACCTCCAGCAGACCTGCACTTTTCTGCTCCGAGCGAAGAGTCTGCCTGGAAAGGAAATGTTAAAGAAGAAGCAGTCAGGCAGCTACTTTTTATCAAGCACCAGAAAACTGAAATTTCATGTTTAAAAAAAAAAAAAAAGAAGAAAAAAGTCTAAAAAGACAGTAAGGAGATTAATATTAATATTTGCAGCATGGACATAAATTTCCTGTCACTGATAGCTCGAAACGAAGAACATCATCTCATTTTGGCTCAATTTACTGACGCTTACATGAAAAGGTTGAATAACGGGAGCGGCTCGAGGGGCGTTATGACCACAGTTTCACCTCACACAAAATCAGACCTTAAAAGCTTCATCCAGAACTTGGCACAGGAGCGATTGTACCGTCTCTGCTGTGAGCATCGCTCTGGGCTTTCAGGGATGACATCCTCTGATTCTATGAGATGATCATTGTCTTCTTCTTCTTGTGCTTTAACAGAACAGCTGGCCCAGTTAGCTGCTAGTTTAAGAAGGCCGGAGACTGGCGCTGCAGGTTTGCCTGGGAAACCTGGACCTCCTGGGCCCCCTGGTTCCTCAGGAGACAATGGGTTTCCAGGGCAGGCTGGAGCAAGGGGGCTTCCAGGACTCAAAGGGCCACCGGGGCAAATGGGGCTAAAAGGGCCAAAAGGTGCTGAATCAACTGCCAGTGTTACTGTAATTTATTTTTGGAACAGCTTATATGTGCTTTCAATCAATGTGGACTAAAATGTGAAATATATATTACAGGTGAACTGGGAGACAGAGGGGCGAGAGGGCCCACTGTGCGAGGACCTAAAGGTCAGCCAGGACTTCCTGGACTTCCTGGTGAGCTTATTTTGCTTTGGAAAACTTTTTCCTTAGCTCTTTACCACGAACCAGAGAGGAGTTTTGAAACATTTTGCTAAAATATAAACCTTGGTGATATTTATACATATGGTAATGTGTCAATTTGCAATCTATCATATATAATGTTGATTTACAGAAATACTGTATAAATTTACCAAGTGTATTATTAAATGTAGAAATCCAATTGTTTGATATTAAATTAAAGGAAAAGGAAATTAAGAAAAAGGGAAAAATGACTTTTTGCAGACACGCAAGATGTTGAAAATCCACACACTAAAAACTGCTGGGTTATTTTGACAACTTAGTTGCTGAGTCAAAGTTGGGTGTTCAACCAATAGATCTTCCTAAAAGTAACATATTTGTCACGAAAAAGTAATTGATTATAAAATACAGTGCAATAAAATGCGTAAAATGTTTTTCATTCTAACAACCCAAATTCATCTGCAGCAACCTGGTTTACACGCAACACATTAGGGTCAAAATAACTAAAAATACAAAAGAACAACTACATTGATAAGAATAGCCACAGCTTCACTGATTAATAAATGGGTACATTAAAAAAAACAGCTGGGATTGAGCAGGATTTTAAATGCTTAAAAGAAGAAATTTAAAATATTTTGCTACTATAAGCATTCCAGAACGTACCAGCTCATTTATTACCCCAGAAGAAACACTATAATATCTGTTAATATATCCTGATGCATGCTCAATAATCCAGGTAGAAAAATCTAAAAAAGTTAAATCTGGTCCTCTGGACATTCAAAAAAAAAAAAACCCCAAAACAAAGCAAAACAACACAAAATGTAGAAACGTTTCGTCTCT